TAAAAGAATACTCTGATGAAGTAAAGCAATATTAAAGTTTAACAAAGATATTGCTAACCTTCGAACACTTGAAGCCAGCATGCGTACAATCAGCGTATGTACAGTAGTATCGACGATTTGTGTGCACCATAACAAAATGGCGTCTAAGACCTCCTTGTCGTCCGAAACGTGCCCCGCATTTCTCACACACATGTGGTCGTTGGTTCCTATAATGTCTTGTTTTTAAGTATAATTCGAAACAACGAGACATAAGAAGTTGAGAAGTTTTTTGATGTGGTAGCACTAGAGGAGAATCCAGCAAAGTCAGCGACTAACATCAAGGTATGCGCTGATAAGGCAGCGCTATTAGAAGGAACTCAAGGGTACAAATACCTTGGAATAGTGAAAGACAGGATCAGTGCACCTATCGGTGGAAGCTACAATAAAGTCCGGCCAGAGATTTTAGTGAGAACTGAGCGGTTAATCAAAACTACACTAAATGGCAAGAACTTTATCAAGGCTGTGAATGAGCACGCCATAAGTCTAATAAATTATTACGTCGGGGTGCTCAAGCTGGAGCCGTCGGGGTGCTCAAGCTGGATCAGACAGTTTCTAATCAAATACGGAATCCACAAGCAACGTGCATGCTTGGAAAAACTGCACTTGCTAAGAGACGAGCTAGGACGTGGACTTCATAATGCTGAGCAGAGGAGTGAGTTTATGCTTCTCCAGCTACATATTGTTCGTGTAGATTCCGCACCAATCTGTACCAGAATTGCAGCGATTCTGAAGCAGGAGAGAAAGCTCATAGCACGTTCTTGGCAATTACTGTGCCATATCTATAGATTAAGTACAACCTCGCAGAAAATCCTACCGTTGAAAACGTATTAGCAACCCAGACGTTCTTGAATAGCGAAATAGAAAAGAAAACCAACCATGCAAAGCTATACAAGATGCAGACTAATCAAACCTCGTCCATAGTTGATTCATCAAAATGGCTGCGATACGGAAACATTATACCGCAAAATAAGGTATGATACTGTTATCTCCAAAACAGAAATATGTTTGGAGGTGAGAAAAGTATGCGCCAACATTGTGGGGAACGTGTGAAAACGGTGGACCATCTAGCAACACAGTGCGAAAAAATGTTACATCGCGACTCTACCAGAAGACACAATGAGGTCCTAAGATACATCCACTTGGAACTCTGCAAGAAGTCTGGTCTGAAAGCATTTTCGCGCTTGCGAAGCCGCCATTCTGTTCAGGAAGTCGTCGCGAATGAGAACGTTGAGATCAAGTCGATACGCGAGTGAGTACTGCAATCAGAATAAAAGTGCATCGACCGGATATTATGAAACACGATAAGAAGCGACGTGAAGTATTCGTGGTAGAGACTGACATCACTGGTCTGGACAGGCTGATAGCAATCGATACTGAGAAGAAAGTATGATATACTCGCTGATAAATTTGAGGCAAAGATGAAATGCATGCCGAAAATAATTCCGTACGTGATGACTTGGGATGGGATCGAAACGAACTTCTATAAACACTACGCGGTGGAGATCATTATATATGAGTACGTCATATATTCAATCGATAGTGCCTCAAGACGCTCGAAAACATCTCATCCGATGACCGCTATGGATTTCAAGAGATTAGCAAATGAGATCAGCACAACAAATCTGAGCGCGGGTCAAGTACAACCAGAGTGCCGGAATACGATCCAGCGCCAGAACCAATAATGCAAGAACGTTAACGTCTGTGTTATATTGATTTGTTATTTATAAATGATAATTTTTAGTCAAATGATAAAATGATATGGCATCGTAATGCATTCGGATTCAGCTTATATTCAGCAATTACAACATTTCGGAAGACAAATTTCTGATGCTTAAATATCTTTATACTGATAACTTTATACTGAAAAGTTAGCACAAATTTTACGTCCACAATAAAGGATTAATTGAATCAACGAGACCTTAATTTTTGGCTAAAATGAGAACCAAAGCATTGAATTTAATTTGATTATAATTAATACGTAAAATAAAGTGTAAAACGTGAATCCTTTACATGACTGAAATTGACGTTATCAATATAAAATTTTGGCAAAGTACAAAATGATTTGAAAAATTCAGAAAAGCAACTAACAAATGTTGTATGGTAATATGTTCCTTTAACTGAGTTTTCGAGGAAAAAATACGCGCACACGTGGTACAGCGATGAATCGGTGTTTTTGGTTCCTGCTCATGTTGACGACGGTGATGTTGCTCCGCAGCTTGTTCATCCCGAAACATCTAAACATTTACACCAACTTAATTGTAAATTTAATACGATAACTGCTTCTTCGATTAGTCACACTTGTCTGATTTCTTCGCTCATCCTACAAACCTGTTCTTGCAAAGAATTTCACATACAGTACTGATAACATTCAAATTCATATTCAGCTGAAATATGAGATACAAAAAAAAATACATAAATCATAGCATAATCTTTTTTATACTTGGTTTCAGTAACTTTTCTTTTTTTTAACCAAGAAATTACAACTAACATTAATGTTATCTTTGTATTACTTGTTTTTATGAGATCAAATACAATTTAATTATGGATAAAATATTGCACATAATTCTCCTCAACTATTGTTATTGTTAAATTGCTTTCTGCAATAATTCGTGACAAGCAATCATGTAACTCATTTGTCTTATCATTTAGTTACTTAAGTAGTTAGCTGCTTCTGTGCTTATTCCTTTATCTATTTTCTTTTGTTTTTGATCAAATGCACCTTTTGACAGTTGAGGCAAATAAAGCGTCTGCCATGATTCGATCTAATAGTCTGATTACCCAAATGATAAGTAAGAATGTGATATTGGACATTCTGTTTCAGAGTAAAAGAATGACTACATTCATCACAGACAAAACGTTTATTCCGGAATCGCTGGTATGGCTTACGTGGACCACTGGAGGAATCCCAAAGATGAGCATTTGTTCGTTTGATAAAAATTTCCTTCAATGTATTTTTTGACAATGCGCTCAAAACTTTGCGTAAAAAGTAAAGTAAATGTGTGAACATTGTGTTTATTATGCTTTTTTCTTGATTTCTTTGAGTTATTTAAGTAAAAATTTTGTGCTGTCTAATATATATTTGCAAACAAACTTTTCTCACTAATTTTTGTGATTTATTTTAACGGTATGTAAATACCTTAAATAATTATTCTTCAAGGGTACTAGTGAAAATTTTTAAATATTATAAATTATATTAAAGTTGCCTTTTGTATTTTTAGATATAAATATTGTGAAATAAAAAACATAAAATGAACGTTGTCTTGATTTTACCTGAATGCCATCAGAAGACTGAAGTACTTTAAAGAATTCGTGCCATTCCCCATAATAAGTACCTAAATTATGATCATAGGAAGCACACAAAGTACTATCCTCTTGAATATCAACGTTTCTTTTGTCTTCATCTGATTCTTGCAATGAGAATGTGAAGTCACATATTTCTGCAAGAAAATTTCATAAATATTTGGTAAATTTTACGAAAAATCGCGCAAAATTTTGTACGAAAAATTTTGTATTTTATAGTAATATTATTATATTTTATTTAAGATTAACACTATTGCTGTAATATATTTCTTATATTTCTTTTAATATCTAAATTTGATGACTTGTGATAATTCCAAAAACCACAAACTAATGAACTAAAAAAAAATATCAAGTCTGTAGTCAAAGATCTTATGCTTTTAATTAAAACATGAAAAATTTAATATATAATCATTCATTAGTTAGCACATAAAGCTGAATTGTTGTCATAAAGCACTGTTGGGATTTGTACAGTTTTGCAAATTTTAATTAGAGAAGAAATTATTTTTCACGAGCGATGCATAAATGAAAGCTCAGTTATTTTCATTTTAGAATGATAAAGCGAATGACTGCAATTCTCTGCACTTTTTTATATTATAAATACAGTACTCATCAATAATTCATAACGAAATACGGTATTGAATGGATAATTACTATATAGGTTAATCTCTGTATGCCTTTAAATCGTTTAGTAATTTTAAATAAACTTTATATGGTCTATATTTTAAACTTTTTTTCTCAAACATAACTTTTTGGGTAACAGAATTGAAAGAAATTTTGGAAAACCAACCACAAATTTTTAATTTAATCTTTATAATAAAAAAATTAATGTATATATTAACCTAATATTTGTCAAATAATCTAATTACTTTGAACTTTTTATCATAAATGTTTTCCAACTGTTTCTATACAATAAAGTTTAACTAATTCAACTAATCAACATATTCCATTACAAGAAACAGTGAAAAGGTTTAATACCTTTATCACAACATATACAGTTCTGATGTGACTGTAGATTTTCCGACAGCATTGGATCGTGAACACAACCTTCTTCGACCATCATCATTGCACACAAAAATTCAGTGATGTATTCCTGGTTTCTTAACAAAAAGAGCATTTAAAATTTGCATAAAATAAGCGTATTCAAAACTGACGTAAAATAATAGTGAAATCTACGCAAAACAAGCTTGCTGCGAGCTCTATCTAGAATGACCTCAGTAAGACTTGCATGTGCATATAAATAAGTGCAAGTTAATACGTGCACTCACTAAAAAATTTTACAGTTAATGTAATCAATATTAAAATGAAGACTTTCACTACCTCAGGGAGGAGTAATCGTTCCGGCAGTGCATACCTGAGTGTACTGACTGGATGCAGACATAGAGAGGAGTGCCTCAACCATTCCGGTCTCTGCTTCACATAACTCTTTCCTGACCTCGTACAATATTTCCAATTTAAACTAGCAACAATTGCCATGCTATAATCTTTCCAATGAAATTATTATCTTGTAAGATTTTTGAATTTAAAAGTCAATATATATATTGATTTGATTGATTTACGTTATATACTTCATATACTAACAACAACCGTATGTATATATATGTATTTATTCAGTCAGTATCTCAGGGAGGTTATTTTTCTTTTTTTCATTATTATTTCTGGCGCTGTATTTTTAACGAAGTTGTATTTAGTCTGAAGGTAAGGCACAATAACTGCCAAGTACGTGTTTACGTGTTTTGAAGTCTTTTCCTGCTTTCAAATTGCGCCCTTCTGGTAGATATGACGCACTTTTTACAAGTACGTTATAAAGTTGCAGAAGCATGTGCTCACTTCGTTGTTCGACGCAATGAACTCCACGTCCTAGCTCGTCTTTTGGCAGACACAGTCTTTCCAAACAAGCAGGTTGCTTGTAATTCCGTACTTAATTAGTAACATGTCTTATATTATGGCCAGTTGTTCGAAATATATATGTT